CCCCGAGAATTTTTACACTGAATTCAGGCAGATTACTCTGGGGTAGGGCTGTACAAGGCTCAGAGAGGGAGGCATGTCAGACGCACCAAAACTAGCAGCCAGCTGTTGCAAAGGCATCTGCCATTGCAAGCTGATGTTCCAGGCATGTGCATACTGCCTTCGGCATCTACCGTGTCCCTGCTTGCCCCCTCCCTGCTGCACTTGCAGTGTTTTTCCCCAACCCCATCATGAAACAAGGGGCACATGGCAGAATGCCTGCCACCTCCCAGCCACCACAAGGGTTGACCTGCTGAACAGCAACCCACACTCTGAGTGGGGCTGGGGTACCATCTAGTGGCTGGAAAAGAATGCCAGGCTGGCCAAAGGGGAAAGGGAAGAAATAGGTGGGGAGGGGGGGGAAGTGGGGAGCACAGCATGTGCATAGTAGCCAACTTTGCTCACCCAGTGCCTCGTCATTGTCCTCTGTGTCGCTGGCAAGCCGGAAGAGCATGGGCCTCATTCGCTCGCAACGCTGATACAGCTCCTGTGGGAAAGAAAGGGGGCTGAGGCAGACAACAGTAAGAGGTGCTTGGCAGGTGATGGGGAAGCGTGAAAGCAAGCACCACCCTGCCACAGGCTGGGGGCACTGAAGGCCTGGTTGTGAGGGAAAGGGGAGAAAGGACTCCTAGCACCACCCTCCTCACCTTCATGAGGTCCTCATTGCTTTCTGTTGTCTCCCCCTTGGTGTAGCTGGTCACCATCTCAGTCAGCAATTTCACGTTGTTGTTCACTTCCTCAATAGCATTCACCCTCTTAGAGATCTTCTCCATTCGCTTCTGGTCCTGATGCACAACAAGCAGAAGTGGGCACAGGTGAGGTAAACCAGGAAGGGGACCTGACCTTCCTTCCCCCTGTCCCTGCTGCAAGGCTAGGAAAACACAATTAAGTCACCCACTTCAAATGGCATTTAAAGAGACTAGGCAAGTGTCACTGTCCCCAAAACAGCTCATCTGAATGGACTCTTCTCTCCTGAGACTGTCAAGCAACCAGCTGGGCCACAATGAATCCCAGCACCTGGCCAAGAGGCTGAGAATGCTCCAGCAGTTGGTGCCGTGGCCACTGTTGCATGCTCATCAGCATTGAGCTCCCAGACAATCAAGGTGAGAAGTCATTTCCAGGTCACCCTATCAGCCCTTCCACTGATGCAGCATGAAGTGGCCTTTATTTCCTGCCACAACAGTGCAAGGTGTCAGGTTGACCAGTCACTGGCTCCATCCTATCCCACTACCTCTCAGCATGGTGTTCCAGGTTTCTCCACCCTGCTACAACAACAGGGAGGCCTGGCCACTGAGCACACCACAGACAGTACCCCCTCCCAGCAATACTACATGAGGCAGTGGGCCCACCTCCTGGACCATCTCCTTGATGAGCTTGTTGGCAGCTCGGAGGTCCTCAGGGTGGGAGCTTTTCAGCAGGCGAGCCAGCATCTGCAAGAGAGATGGGGAGACATGGGGACTGGTCAAATGGGACTAATCCTAAACACAGCCAGGTGGAATCATGGGTCAGTCCCACAAGAATAGTTCTCAAACTGCGCCATTCATGTGGAATGAAGATTGGAAGGATTTCCAATAAATATCACATCCCTCCCTCCCTCAGCACAAAGTGACTCAGCCACAGAAGTGACCTCAGAACTGCCTGGCAAAGCCTGTGCCCATTTTTTGCTTCTTTCTGATGAAAGATATTTCAGAATCTTTTTTCTTTTTAATCTCCACCCTGGCAAGAGGGGTGGTGGTGGTCTCCCATTAGAATTCAGCTTCATGCCAGGCACATTTCAGAGCTGAACAACCCTAGTATCTAGGCTGACAAAGACGTGCAAAGGCTGGACTTGGGGCGGACTTTGAGGTCTGGCCTACTCATAGTTTTTGAAGTTAAAATAGTGCAACCTCTAGTATGTGGGTTTGACTGGACCCTATTCATACAAAGAAAGTACAGCACGCTAAAATGCGCGGCTGTACCACACAGCTGCTCTGTGGTAACTCTGTCTGTGCACTCTTCACAGTTTAGCTTTCCCCTACCGCAGAGGGAGAGAAGTCACATGGGCAGCGAGCAGAGGTTTCTGTGTGGTAACCCAGCTACAATGATGGCTGATGGCAAATGGCTCGAGAGATACAAAACAGTTGGGCAATAAGAGGGTCATGGTGAGAAGGAAGAGAGGGTGTGAATTGAGCTGGAACCACTTTATGCCACGTGGCAAGAGGCTCCTGTGACACAGTGATTGTGTGTCAGAGTTGCAGCAGCTGCTGGGCTAGTGACAAGGTTTTGCTGAGCTATGGTCATAAGCAGTGTTCTGTGGCAAGAAGTTCCATGGTTCAAATGGTAAGAGAGAAGAGAAGCCTACTAGATAGAATCTTCCTGTTGATTTTCTTTGGCTTAGGCCCTCCATGTATCCATTTTTCTTCTCAGTGAGGATAAGTACAGGGAAGAGATGGCCCTGCTGTGCCATCCCTGCCTAGAGGTCTCAGAGGAGAAGACACAGGCTAGGAAGGCTTCATCCTGTTACTGAGCTCTTACCTTGGACTTCTCCTCATCATCAAAGATGATGTTTTTGGGCCGGGGAGGAGGTGGTGGGAAGGGAGCATCATCTGGCAGCTTTGGGTCACATTTCACAATGCCTGCAGGGGAGATGAGCACAGAGGTCACTATGTTCAAGGCCTCACTTCACCAGAGCAAACAGATGGCTGCTTTCTGCTCCCCACTGCAGCCCTGCTTTGTTCTATGTGATAGCATCCCATCCCCTACAACCAGTCAAATCTAACCACGGGCCAATTAAGGCATGCAAGGGGCAGATTTTCCTCTTGCCTCCTTCTCCCCGCAGTGACTCTCAGCCAGGTCCTCTGCAGCATCTCCACCACCTAATAGCAAGTCACTCTATGCCCAATGGCAACCTCTGTCCTCCACCTGGCCTTTTGGAGGCCAAGCTACCAAGGGTAAAGCAGGTGTCACCTCCTGCCACACTATTCCACCAATTCAATATGCCAAGGACACCCTCCATCTTGCTTGGATTTCCAAGGTAACCCCATTCAATTTCTCCAGATTCTGAGTTGGGCAGCCTCCCTGAGAGGCCAGAAGCAGACAAACCTAGAATCCATCTGGTCTCCGTTTCCTTCACCACAGATGGCTGGAGGGAAGAAGAAAGGCTCCTGCCTCTGAAAGTTTGAGGCTCTCACCTTGTTTTTTCAGCATCTGGTAGGCCTCTGTAATCTTCACCTCGAGAGGCAACCCCAGCGTCCAGCTATACATCAGCTCCAGGATCTTTGACTTTACCTTTTCTGAAGTTCGGCTGCCAAGGTACTGAGGAGAGGGGGGAAAAGAGGAAGAGGTAGTGAGCTGATTTGGAAGGAGGCAGGTTCATCACCTTGCATAGATAAATGAACTGGCTTCCAACAGCATGGGAGAAGTGTAAAGGAAGAACAAGAACCCACATGGCTCCTTGCAACATGGCCCAACTACATTTGACTTCCAGCACACCAGAGGGTGGGTGGTGTACCAGAGCAGAGATCTTACGCTCAGATGGTAGCCAGGCAGCACCAGGCAGTGAGGGGCATGTCAGTGACACAGGGAAGGCCAGTCCAGACTCTGCATCCTTAAAAAGGAAGGGTGCATATTGGTAGGGGCATGGGCCTGGTCACCAACTGGCCCAGCCAAACACAGCAGGAATCAGAGCACCCCTTGGGAATCTACTTCCTTCAGGTGCAGGAGGGCAACAATTCAAGGAGCAGTGGCCAGGAGGGTCACTCTTACTGTACAACCCAAGGGGGAGCACTTTCTGACAGCGGTGGGGGCGGGAGATCTTTCAGCACCAGGGGCAGAGGTGGGGGGAGTTTGATCACTGGAGGGCAGGAGCAGTGCACAGGAGGGGGAACAGAATCTTCCCTGCCCCTGCTCCCTGCACTTGGGCAGCAGCTGCTACAGCTACTGCAGATAAGGGGCAGACTTGCTGTACAGGCAGTCCTCAACTTGTGGCGTTTCAACTTATGCCGATTTGCACTTGTGGCACTCTGCCATTTATACCCATGTTATTACTTACAGTGCTGGATCCTTGCACTTAGGGCACTACAGGGAAATTTACAATGAGAAAATGAGGGCAGCAAAACAAACATCCCTGGATCAGTTTCTCACAAGGCCATTAAGTGGCCCTAAGTCTCCCCAAAGAAGCCCTTCTGAATTCCATGACCCTGGTGAAGGTGTTCCTTCACCTTCTAATTAAATAAAATTTTATGTGATTAGTTACTGTATTGCCCTATTTAATCAATTTATATACAGTACACTTTAGAAAGCTATACACTGTAGAGCGTATATCATTTATAGTTGATTAAATAGTTGATTTAAATATGGTGTTTACAGTCATTCCTATAAAAAGTTGGGCATTAGGCCCTTGGTCAGGAATATAACCCCTTATTATAATATTGTTTTTATGGAAAAATCAGATTCGATTTAATTCATTTAGACTTACAGGGCCTTTTCCAGGAACATAACTGGCAGTACGTGCGAAGACTGCCTATACTCCAGTTCAGCAGCCCAGTGACCTTGGCTTCTCAGGGGCTGCAGCTGGGGCCCATTCGCTCCCTCCCCGCCTCCCAGAGACACTATGGCACAGCCTTGCAAGGGCCCAGGGAGCACTGTCCACTTGCTTTGCTCACCTCCCTCCCCCACAGACACACTATGGGACTTCCTATGGCTGGGATGTCTTTGCTGTGATAAAGACCTGTGGGAGGGGACCATGCTGGCTCTCCCTCAGTCTTTAGCTGAGGGGGTAAGCAGGGCACCACCCCCAGGTACACTCCTGCTTCCTGGCGCTTGGCTGTGCTCCTTCTCATTTTAGTTCAGGGCAGTGGAGGCAGATGTCACCCTGACATGAAATACTGGAGATGCTCTCCACCTCACCATGGATACAGGGATGTTACCCAGCCCCCAAACCAGAGGAGAGCAGTGGCAGTCAGTGAGCAGGCAGCAACACTAGGAACCAACTCAGGCCACCTGCTCCCAGATACTTTGACTCCTCCTCAGCCAACCTGCCTCTGGGCCACTCTCACAAGCTGGAAACAGCCCTCAAGGAGGAATGGAAGGCAAGTCCTCACCCCATACTGTAGCAGCTCATGGAGGATTTCCCACCCACAAGGCCACACCCCTTCTAGTGCTACCTTTGCTTTAGCCCAGGAAGCTCAGCCTCCTTGTCTGAGGGTTAGCTCACTTCCTCCCCTCAGGCCCATCAGTGCTGGACCCACCTTGGGGGACACCACCTTGATGAGCTCATTGAGGAAGCGGAACTTGCCCACCTCATCATGGAAGCGCTTGCCACAGTTCTTCATGCAGGTCTCCAGCACCTGAGAGGGAAGGCAGAGGCTGAGCCCAGGGAAGGGGTCAGCACACTGAGGAACCAGATCCACCCCCCAACCCTAGCAGGAAATGCCTGCGTGAGGTAGAGGAAAACAAGGCTCTGAACCCGGTCCATGAACCCCTAGTTTGCCTGCTGTGGCCACCCCCACTTCTGATAAAACAGGAGGGAATCCCCTCCCCAAGCTTGCCATCAGAGGGCAGGGAGCAGAGGAAGCAACACGACTTTGGTACATGCCTGAAATGCGACAGACTGTGATACGGGAGAAATAGCTGGTGGGACTGTCACCACCCAGCCCTACAAGGGCAGACAGTGAATACAAACATAAGAGATGTCACAATGTCATCAGACCACAGGTCCACATGACCCAGTGTCCTCTCACAGTAACGAAGAGTGAATATTAAGAGGAACTGTATGCAGGGCCTGTCCAGACTAATCCACTGGCCATCCCTCTGCCCCTACAGCTTCCAGCACTCAGGAATCCCCAACACATCCTGGGGGGTATGCATCCGTGTCGCAGGGGAATCAGAGACACATGAGCCTTCACCTAGTAGGGCACTGACCCAATGCCCAGAGATGTCAACAGAAAGACTCCCACAGACTTCAAAAGACTTTGGACCAGCCTGAGTCGGGTGAGGGAGCCCAGAGTGAGTTTGGACTTTGTCCAATCCACAGAGGAATGCACTGGAGTCCTGAGCCCTTTCTCCCCAGACAGCCCTGGGGCACTCCCCCACCGCCCAGCCCTTCCAGTCTGGACATCTTCCCTCTTACCGTTAGGGCCTGGATGGCTTCCCACTCCTGCGGGGATTGGATCTTGTGAGCTAGAAGCCGGGTAGCAAGTGGGGGGCTGGGAGGGAGCAAAGCAAAGTGGTTATGGGAGAAGGGCTCAGGGTCTGGGCTTTCCAGAAAGGGAACACTTTTTGCCCATGAATCTGTATGCCTTTTGCCCTGCCCCGCCCCCACCCCCCAGTTTCTATAGCTCACGGCAACTTCATTAACACATCACTGGAGCCGTGCCAGCCCCAAAGGAAAATTGATGCTTCTTCCAAACTTTCCAGGAGTCCTTTGCTGTAGTGTGAACGCATCTGCCTCTGAGGTGAAGCCTACATGACCGCACACGTGCATGAGCAAGATGCTACAGAGCCGCAAGAAGCAGAAAGAAGGGTGATCTCTGTGCCAGACTGAAGCAGAGGGCAGTGGCCTCCAGCAGCAGAAGGGTAGGGAAAAGTGCGCTGAAATAAATGCTGCTACTTGCTCAGGGATGGGCCAGCACTTCCTACCAGCTGCTGCTTCTCTCTGCTGTCTGGTCCTTGCCCCAGCACCTCCCCTCCCACACCCATAGTTGGGTCTTATCTTCAAGATCCTTAAAAACTGCTCTAATAAAA